TAACTATGCGTCGTATCTGTATATCACTGCTTTCTATCATTTTTACGTATTTTTGTCCGGTTGATTGTTACGGATTGCTACAGGGCTATTACCGCTTAGGTTCTTTGGTAGTGTGTAATTGTGTAGTTGTATGCTGGCCGCAGTATGCGATAAAGTAGCTTCAAGATTCTTGTGTCCGCACCTCAAGTTCTTCGTGATATGAGGTATGGTGAAGGTCGATTTTGCGCTTCTAGACTTGTTTAAGAAATTTTGAAAATGCAAACAACGTTGCTTTCAAATGAATATCTCTAGCTAGGGGATTGGAAGAGGACGGGGACCTGAAGTTCTATATGTTAACATGCGTGGTTTCTTTGGCGTTACTGGCCCACCGTGGGCAGGAACACAATCGAATTTTGATAGTTAAGGAAAACTGGAATTGCCATTTAGATCTCCCAAATAAGCAAGCCTGTGAGTACACTGAGCTAGTATCCTGTCTGGGTTACATCCCTGAGCTGTAAACACAAACGGCAGAATCGGTGTGGAATGGCGTGGGAATCATTAGTACAGTACCCCATTATTATCAAAGACTATGTGAACAAAATTCCCCTGACCGGAAATATCTGGTTGCAGAGCTGAAAAACTCTGACACGCGCAGCAATACAATGCACAGGTTGCGGTCAGAACTTTTTGCACTCGCTTTGTAATTACATAATAAAAACTGGAAGCTTTTTTCGACAGTCAAAAAATTTTAATAGCACACTTGCATTGAAATTTGTTGCGATAAAAAAAAGAAACCATTTTGATCGATGACATTATTGGCGAGAGTTTCATGCTTTATGTTTCGTGTGCCCGTGCCGAACCAACTTGTCAGTACCATCGATCGTTGTGCTTGCACAACCGCTGCACCAAATACACCGATCAGCCAGTGAAACACAATCATAATTCACAGACAAATCCTCAAAATATGTACATTAATGCCACAGCTTGTGCCGTAGAGGGTCTGGAGAATTTCTTCAAAGGCTTTTTTTTGTCTCAAAGCTTGTAATTTTCACTAACAAATTAGCTTAGCATAAAATCAAAAATTGGCCAACGCACGGGCTGCCCGTGCGAAGATGCGTTTTTTGCAGAGTTCCCC